AGCAGCCGCACAGCGGAGCTGTCCAGCCGCCCCCGCCGCGCAGCTCCCCGCGGGACGCGCTGCTATTGTTTTGGTCCTTTTCTCTCGGCGAGCGGCACCGGAAATGCCGCCCGTCCCGGCGGCCGGCAGCGCTGAGTGCTCTCCCGCTCAGCCCCTGCCGCTGATCGCCTCCCGTGGCAGCCGTGCCATAGAATCGCTGAGTTATGGAACGGTTTGGGTTGGAAGGGACTTTGAAGATCACAAAATCACAGAATCAATCAGGTTGGAAGAGACCTCTGAGACCATCGAGTGCAATCTGTGTCCTAGAGCCATCTTCTCAACCAGACCTTGGCACTAAGTACCACACGGAGTCTTTCTTTAAATACCTTCACCACCTCCCCGGCATTTCAACAAATTCTTTCCCATGTCCAACCTAAATCTCCCTTGACGCAGTTTAAGGTAGTGTCCTCTCATCCTAAACATCTAATTCCAATCCCCTGCATTGTGGACGGGGATGCCTTCCAGAGGAATGGATTGCTCAATTCCACTTCAACTTAGCCTTACTCCAGGGATGGAGCACCCGCAGCTTCTCTGGGCAACCTGTGCCTGTGTCTCACCATCCTCTCAGTGAAGAATTTCTTCCTAATATCTAATCTAAGCCTGCCCTCTTTAAATTCATTTCCCCTTTTTACACAACCTGGCCATGTAATAACTCCCTCTCCCTTTTTTTCATAAGCCCCCCTTTAAGTACTGAAAGGTCTCCAAGAAACCTTCTCTTCTCCATGCTCAACATGCTCCCACTTCTCTCAGCCTGTTTTCACAGGAGAGGTGCTATAGCCCTCTGGTCATTTTTGTGTCCACCTTTTAGGCTCACTCCAACAGATTTGTGTCAGTCTTGTGCTGATGATCCCAGACCTGGATGCAGTACTCCAGGTAGAGAGAGTAACAGCAAAGCAGAGGGGGATAATCACCTCCCTCAAGCTGCTGGCCACACTTCTTCTGATGCAGCCCAGGACACAATTGGCTCTCTGGGCTGCAAGTGCGCACTGTTGCCTCATACACAACTTTTCAGCCATGAGAACCCCCAAGTCCTTCTCCTCAGACTGCTCTCAATGACTCCTTGCCCCATTCTGGCCTCACATTTGGAATTGCCCCTATCCAGGTGCAGCTCCTTGCACTTGCACTTGCTGAACTTCATAAGATTTTCATGGGCCCACTTCTCAGGTTTGTCCAGGTCCCCTGGATGGCATCCCTTCCTTCTTTTGTGTTGGCTGCACCACTCAGCTTTGTGCCATCTGCAGATTTGCTCAGGGTGCCCTGGATCTCACTGTCCATGCCATTTTAAAGATAGAATATGATATGAATATGATATGAATATGATATGAATATGATAGAGTATGATATGAAGAGCACCAGTACCAAGAGAAAACCCTGAGGAAAACCGCTCATCACTGGCCTTCACCTGGATACAGAGCCATTGACCACAGCTCTCTGGCCAATTCCTTATCCGCTGAATCCATCAATCAAATCCATGTGTCTCCAATTTGCAGATAAGGATGTTGTGTGGGACAGTGTCAAAGACCTTACAGAAGTCACCTCTTGGTTCCCTTGTCAACTTTTGCTGTCACCCCATTGCAGAAGGTGACCGACGTTTGGTCAGGCACAATTTGCCCTTATTGAAGCTGTGCTGGCTGTCTCAGACCACCTCCTTGTTTTTCATGTGCCTTAACATTTTTCCATGAGGATCTGTTCCATGATCTTCCCAGGCACCAAGGTAAGGCTCACAAGCCTGTAATTCCCCAGACTTTCCTTCATCCCCTAATTAAAAATAGATATGGTGTTTCCCCTTTTCCAGTCACTGGGGACTTTGCCTGACTGCCATGGGCTCTCAAATATCATGCAGGAGGCATGCACCAGACAGCTTTTGTGGCACCTAGGATTAAAAAGGGGTGGGGAAGTGGTTATGACTGCCAGCACCTCCTACCCTTCTCTTACAGCATGTTTCCATTGGAAAAGGTAAAATACCCTTTTCACCATCCACCAGAACAAACAAAAAATACTTTTAAATTTCCAGCACCTCCTGGTTTTGGCAAGGGTGTGGACACAGCCATTGCAGTGGCAAAAGTTCACACAGCATTAGGCTAAGGGAGAAAGAAGACCAGTTAGCAAGCTTGAAGTGAAAGCCTGCACTGTCCTCACATTACACCACAGAAGGAGGTTTAGTTAATTAAAATACATGAAGCCTGAGTTATATGAATGATGAAATGCTGTCAGTTTGACAAACACCAAATTTGACCTACTTGACTATTTAAAGAAAAACATCAGGATAAGAAGTTCCCTTTTCACCTCAAAACTACTTTTTATAAGAGTCAATAAAACAAACAGAGTTGAAATGCCTTGCTTGGGCATTATTTACGCCTGGTTTTCAGTGGCCCAGATGTGAAACTTGAATGGAAATTTACCCTCAGAAATCATGAAGACAGAGGTGATTTTTACATGTCCAGTACAACAAAGAAGAACATTCTACAGAAAACTTGTAAAGATATTAATTAGCAATTACTTTAGTAACCAGTGTCATAAAAATACAGAGTGCTCTGCTTGAAATTATTCTGATAATGCCCTTAATGTACAGTATGTGTATTCAAACTGAAACATGTCACTTAATTGGGCATGGGGAGAACAAGTTGGTAAGGTCGTGTGTTGTCAGCCTTCCAACTATGTTTTGAATAATGATTTGCAAGCCTCTGAATAAGTATATCATCTCTTACTGATGTCTACTATTCCTCAGCTTTCCTGATTCCAGCTTTCCTTACAGGCAGGCAGCTTTTAATAAGCACTTGTCTGCACTAGCACACTACCCACCATAGACACTGGCCTGTGGTTGATGCAGGGCCAAATAAACTATCAGACTAGACTCAGAGACAGGACAGAGACACCTTGGCTCTAAGGCTGCCTTTGAAACAGTAAGAAGGGATGTTGGTGGCTCAGCAAGGAAAACCATCCTGCGATCCGTGGCAGAGGTGTGGATACCAGGGCAGGTGGGTGTTAATAGCAGACAGAGACAACACATTTTCCCCTGTCCTCCTGAAGTCTTCAATGCACCACAGCACCAGCTACTGTTACTGCCCTGACTTGTGAATGATTCTTTGTTCAATCTCTTAATAGTTTGTTTGTGTACCTGTTTGCTCTGGTTTAAGGGTAGTTTAGAGCAAGGTTTTATTTACCAACTCCATCACATTAAGATGTTACATGGAATAAAATATCTTTGAAGGCCTCCAAAGGGCAAAACTCACTCTTCTGCACTCACACATTTTTAGTAGCCTTTTGATCCTCCCCTGACCCAGGACTACTAAATTTGCAGTACCAAAATTCTCATTAGCCTCAGGGACTGTGAGGAAAAAGCAATAGCTAAGAATGACTGATGCATTAAAAAGGTTAAAAGGTTAATAAGATCAGTGTGACTACAGAAGTCAGACCTACTCTTCTGCTTTGTTTCCAGCCAAAGATGAGCATCAATTGGGCACTTGTTCTGCTCACAAGGGACTCCTTTTGCATGGAGTAATACCTGGGTAGTGTTTAAGTAGCTCTACACATCCTTCAAAATTCACCCTTGTTGCCTCTGCAGACAGGTTCTGACCAGGGGTTACAGCATACCCTGCACTCCCAAAACAGCAACAGAAAACAGAAACTAGGATGGGTGGGCATTGCCATCCTATTTCCCCACCTACCTCAGGTTAAATATGCTTGTTAATTTAATAATTGTCATTCAGAAATCTCCCAAGTGCTCATTTGCATTAACTATCAAGTTAATGTAATTTAATGTAAAACACAAGCCTGTCCCAAAGCACCAAGAAGGTTCTGCAAACACCTCCCCTGCCTTCAGTAGGTCCTCAGACCCAAGCTTTTCAAGACATTTATTTGCATGCTGTTTTTGCA